CTCAGCTCAGTTCCCCTTTGGACACAGGCAGGAAGGAAAAGGAGGCCAACTGTTCATCGACACCGGGAACCAGGCCCCAACACCCACATGCAGCCTCCCCACCTGTCAGCGGGTCTAGAACATCGTCCCCCTTCCAACAGCATGATGGCAAAGGAACAGAGAGGCCCAGATATGTTTCTGTCTGAGACAGTCTGTCAGAGTTTGAATGCACCAATGAGTGAATGGTGAAGATTCATTTAGTCCACAAACATTTACTGAGGGCCTACGGAGGGCCCGGCACTGTGCTGGGAACATGGCAGTGACCAGGACAGCCCCAGCCCAGGCCTCAATAACAGTACAGCCCAGTGGGGGAAAGAGCCCCAGTCCCCAGAGGGTGATAAACCCAGAGAGGCAGAGCTGGGAGAGGGGCTTCCCCAGGGAGGGCTTCCTGGAAGAGGAGATTATAGGCTAAGATAGCAACAGGGAGAGTGCTGCAGGCAGAGGGCAGAGTACACGCAAAGACCTGAAGACGGGGAGGGAGACTGTGGCTTCTAGAACATGGAGAGTTGGCACAGGCCAGGTCGTGCCAGACCTTGTGGGCCACAGTGAATGGGGAGTTTGAAATCCAAAAGCAAGTGTATTGGGAAAGTCAAGCCAGGAGTCCCCAGTCCAGACCACCTGGCTTCCCTGAAACGCCACAGACACCGCCTCCAGGAGGCCTCCAGGACTGCTCAGTGGGGAGCTGGCCCAGCTAGCCAGTAACACTATTCCATGCTGGGTACCAAGGAGCCTGCAAGTCACTAATCGGCCTGGGCCTACAGTCACGGAGGTGACAGTCACAACACAGGGCACACACCTGCACGTGCACCCACCCCCCCTCACCCCACTCCACGCCGCAGAAACACCCACAGACCTTTCTCTTGCGGCTGAAGCCCCAGCATCACCCAGGGGTGTGCTGGAAATACCAAAGGCTCCACCAGATCTGTGCTGTAACCAGATTCCCCAGCTGATTCAAGATCACACAAACAACTAAGAAGGCTTAACCTCCTTTAGTTTCTTATCTGTACAATGTGGATAACACAACGTCCTTATGGGGCTGGCGCGCTGTGAGGATTAACTGGGGTAACGTTCGTGAAAGCACCAAGCACAGCCTACTAAGCATTTGCTCTCCTCCTCCTCCTCCTTTTCATTATTAAGTTTCAGAGCCTGAAAGGACTCTCGGCGCCCACCGTCATCCAGCGTTCTTGCTCTGTGGATGGGGAAACTGAGGTACAGGGTCGCATGACTTTTGCCCAAGGAAAGATGGAAGGATGTGCTGGGGCCCGCCTTTGGCAGAGTTAGCCCCAGGGCTGTTTACAGGCTGCTCTGAGCAAGGGGGAGATGGTACTGTCACCCCAGCCCCCACATGTGGGGGCAGAAGGCTGAGGGCTCCCCCTGCCCCCTCCCCATGCAGAGCCAAGCCCTGCGGAGCCAGAGTGGGGGAGGTCTTGCCCTCTCCCCCACATTCCAGTCCTCCTCCTCCCGGAAGCTCCCTGGGGTTGAGCCCCATGAAGAAAGACTTGACTTGCCTTGCCCACCCCATGCTCTGTGGGCAAGGTGTGCATATCTGTGTGTGTGTTTGAGTGAGACTGTGTGTGTGTGTGTGTGTGTGTGGTCACCAGGTCCAACTTTTCCCTTAGGCACAGAGGGCGCAGTACTAGGCCCTATGATAATCTTAGGGGCCCTAAGATCAGAAGAAAAAAACCCTGAACTTCTAGGTAAAAGAAAATGTTCTAATATATAGTATTATCTGCCTTTATACCAATGTAGTCATAATAATCCTATTTTATTATTTTTCTAAAAGATTTATTTATTTATTTGATAGAGAGAGAGGGAAGGAGGGGCAGAGGGAGAGGGAGAGAGAATCTCAAGCAGACTCCCTGCTGAGTGCAGGGCCCCGATGCAGGACTTGATCTCACGACCCTGAGATCACGAGCTGAGGTGAAATCAAGAGTCAAACCCCCTAATCGACTGAGCCACCCAGGCGCCCCATAAAATATAATTTCAAAGATGTCTTTATGGAGGAAGAAGGCAATGAAAACAAAAGTATCCATGGCTCAAGGGAGTTATAATGTGACCCTGTGTATCTCTGCTTCTGGCTGATATCTCTGGGAGGGTCTATATCTGCAAAGGTCAGGGTGGCTCTGTTTTAATAACAAAACAAATCCCTACAATGTGCCAGGCATGTTCCAGAAGCTTTCCTGATATTCACCTCACGTAATCCCCCACCAGCCCCATGAGCTGGGCAAGATTCCTATCCTCCTTTCCCAGGTGAGGAAACGGAAGCTCCAGACATCACTAACTCAAGGTCACCCAACGACTAAGTGGGGACCAGAATGTAAGCCCAGGCCACCTAGATTGTGGGTCCGCATCAAGGGCATAAATGCCCGGTGTCTGCACGAGTGTGACCATCTGCATGTGAACATATTGACGTACATAACTCATTTAATAATTAAAAGCACAGACTCCCGGTGCCTGACCAGCTCAGAAGGTGGAGCATGTGACTCTTGATCTCGGGGTGGTAAGTTTGAGCCCCACTCTGGGTGTAGAGAGTACTTAAAAATAAAATAATTCTGAAAAAAATAAAATATTCTGAAAAATAAATAAATAAAATAAAATAAAATAGAAGCACGGGCTCTGAAGCCAACGCGCTGCATTCTTATCCCGGCTTTGCTGCTCATGGGCTGTGTAACTCTAGGAAGGAGACTTCACCTCTCTGGGCCTCCATTTCCTTGCAGGTTGAATGAGGGTTCCTACCTCATAGGAGTGTTGTGAGAAGGAAGGAAATGAATATGGGGGCTCAGGAAGAATTAGCCCTTGTTATGATTGTGTGAAGAGCGTCCGCGTGCATCCACAGCGAAGGTGTGCGGATCATGTGTGCTGGGGACCCACATGACAGTGTGTGTTTCAACGTGTAGGGCCATGTGTGTTGCTGGTCGGGGGTGAATATCTGAATGCCCGCGTGACCCTGTGAGTACGTGCCGGTGGCCGTGTGGACACATGGGCCACGTGTGTTGGGGTGTGAAGACTTTTGGGCAGCCAGGGTGTCTCCCCTGTGTCTCCTTTATTCTGCGGGAGAGATGAGGGGCTTGGATAGGACAGGGAACGTGGGGTCACTCCCTGTCTGCTACCGGGGCCGAGTCACTGCCTGCTGGTGGTTGCTGTGTCATCTTCTAGTCCTTGTCCCTACTTGCAGACTGGTAGCAGACAGAGGGGGCGTGGGGGAAAGAGGTGAAGGGCAGGCTGGAGGCTGGGCTTTTGTCTGGACACCTTGACCTCCCCCTACTCCCTGTCTGCCCCCTGTGTCCCTTCCACGTCTCCCTCCCCCCTCCCCACGATCAAAGCAGGGAAGCAAGATTCTGCTGGGTCTCAGGGTCCGCTCACCCCCTTCTGCTCTGCCTCAGACCTGCTGTGTGACCCTGAGCCAGGGACTCCCCCTCTCTGGGCTTCGACAATCTCAAAGTGCTTCTCCCTCCATGCCCAGTGCTGCGTTAGGCTCTGCACTGGGCGGGAAGTATCAGATCTCTGAGATTTGTGAAGCAGCAGGTGGGACCCTTCCCAGTGGGTGCTTAAGGGTTGGGGGCTGTGGCATCCCAAATACCCAAATTAAACTCTTGAACCCCGTTTCCTGACTGGGAGGCCTCAGGTAAGCAGCTCTACCCCTCTGAGCCTGGGTCACAACAATATATACACTGTGAGCAGACAGGTAGGTTCGCAAGGCTTAGAAACTTCCCCAGAATATCACCGTTACCATTTAAATAATCCCCAAACCCAAGTTTTTCAGGGAGTTTCGCTGAACCAGGCAGTTCTCAGAAATCAGAAAGAGAGTAGGAGCTCTGGAGTTTAACATTTCTGGGTTTGAATCTCTTGTCATGGGATCCTGGGCAAGTCACTTAACCTCTTCGAGTATTTTTTCCCTCTTTTATAAAGTGAAAATTTTCCTCCCTTAACCTTCAAACGCTGATTTAGGGATTAAAGATCTCGTGGTGAAAGGCTTACTACAGGAGCTGGTATTTGGTCATAGTTAAATACACGGCATCTATTATTATTATCAATTCTTCTTCACACACACATTCTTTCTGTCTAAAGGTAGGATTACGAAGCGGGAAGGAGAGGTTGCCAACACCAGCAGCAGGGACGCTTCATCCTAAATTTCGTTCTCTACCCGCTCCAAACCCGCATACCTCCCCAACACCGGACTGCGGGGCCAGCGGGGTCCAAGACACACATCTTTTGTCCAGACGGGAAAAGTGAAGCTGAAGCTCAGGGAGGGACAATATTTCCCCGAGTCAGGGCCATCAGGGCCGAAGCTGCCAGGAGGGTCGGGACTCCACCCCAACCTCCACTTTCACCTGGAGCATCAAAGCCCCTCCCATTCCGCTCGGGACTCAGTTTCCCCGCCTGCGTGACTACAACACACTAGCCAGGGTCTCTTTCTGGGGATCTGACCTTCCTCTTGAGTGAGGGCGCTGCTCCACCGGGAGAACTGGGAGGGGCTGCCAGAGGTGCGAAGTACCCCCTTACCCGGGTCTTCCCCAGGCTAGTTTCAGAGCCTATTAATACCAGCTCCCGGGGCGGCGCGGCACTGCGCAGGCGCGGGCGGGTTCCGCAGGCGCGCGGGGTGAGCGCGCGAGCGAGCGAGGGATTCCCTCTGACGTAATTGCTAGGATACCAAACAAACACTCTGCCGCGCCGGCCGAGCTCCTTATATGGCTAATTGCGTCACAGGAACTCTTGGGAGGCGGGGCCGGGATCCCCTCCCGCCGAGGGCTCTGGAACGCAGCCCCCACGACCCCCAGGGCCGCAAGGGTGATGCAGGTGGACAGAACGAGGCTAGGGCAGACCTCTTGCTGGACGGCGAGGGGCTGAGTTCAGCAGGGCCGGAGATTTTAGGAAGTTTGTGGAGCTTGGGTAGGGTGACGTAAGCAGGGAGGCGGGTCCCGGGCATATAAATACAGGCTGGCGGCTTTGGGGTTCATTCATAAGACTGAGAGCTACGGCCTCGGCAGGGACAGGCGGAGCTCGAACTTGGGGACTAGACTGTTGTGGTTCTTCTTGGGGGCTGCGAAGTGCAGTTTACTATTTTTTTTCCGGCGAGAAAGTTTTGGGGAGGATTCTTCTAGATAATTCTACATTTTCTTTTGGAGGAACGACTTACTCTTTTTGTCTTCTTTATTACTCCCCTCCCCCTGTGGGACCCGCTGGACGCGTGGAGGAGACCGCACCCGAAGCCGATTCTGTACAGCAAGACAGCGCTTTCCGCCTCTGGGGAGTGATTCCCCCCACGCCCCTGGGTCCTACGGAGCCTGGACTTTCAGGAGGCACAGCGGCATCTTGTGGGGGCCTGGGCACCGCAGAGGAATTGCACAGAAACTTTGCCATTGTTGGAGCGGGACGCTGCCCCCATCCCGAGTTTCCTCGGACAGCGCGCTTTGGGGACGCGCTCGGCTCACCCCGGACTTGCACCTTTCTTTTCCACCCGGCCCCAGCCTTGGCTTCCCGGCGACCTCAGCGTGGTCACAGGGCTCCCCCTGTGCCCAGGGAAATGTTTCAAGCTTTCCCCGGAGACTACGACTCCGGCTCCCGGTGCAGCTCCTCACCCTCCGCCGAGTCTCAGTATCTGTCTTCGGTGGACTCCTTCGGCAGTCCGCCCACCGCCGCCGCCTCCCAGGTAAGTTCTAGAGGGTTGGGGTGCTGCTTTATGGGTTTTATCTTTTTTTAAGTCAGGGATGGAGCGAGCAATCCCTCCACCCCAAATAAAGACGCACCAAAACTCAGGATCTGAGAGGGAATAGGCTCACCGCGCACTTGGCAAACTGCGGAGTCGGGACGTGTTTGCAATTGGTGGTGTGATGGATCGCAGGGAGGGAACGCAGAGGGGTAAGCTTTGGGGGTGGGGAGAATGCTCCGTTCGGTGCAACGTGTATGCGGTAGCAGCGCTGAGAACTTTTAGCTTGCTCCGGGACTGCGCCCGACTCAGGTCCCCAACCTGAAGCTAGCGCAGTTAGGCAGGTGGGGGAAATCCCGGGGAAGCTTCCAGTAGCCTCCTCCCTTTTCCTTCTCCATCGGAGCGCCTACTCCGGCATCGGGCTGCCCTCGATCCAGCGGGCAAGCTGGCCTCGAACCCTTGCTTGGAAGCTCTGCCTCCGCCTCCTGCGCGGAGACGTAACGGGGGACCCGTGCGTAACGGCTGACGCGCTGGAATCCTCCGTCTGACGCGGGGCACGCACGGCGCGCGGCGCCCCCTTCGTCCGCCCCGCCCCTGACGTCCCGGAGCGTTCTATTTTGGAACGCCGGGGCCACGTTGCTAAGGGAGGGGGCAGCCTGGCGTTCCGATTGGCCGCCGCGGCGCGCGCTATGGCCAATCAACTTTCCCTTCCTATTTGTAGGGTGCAGTTCCCTTCCCCCCTCTCCGTCCCCGGAACTCGTGGTTCCTTGGCGCTGGGGTCTCTTTTACGGGCCTCTAAAGGCAGAGCGAGGGGATTCCTGTGGCGACAGGAGCGACCCTCTGCGATCCCATGGGTTCGCGAGGACCTTGCGGGGATCAGGACCCTCCGATCTCAGGGGCCGAGCGTGTCTGTGTGCCGGGGTTTCTTAGGGAGACATGGGTGGCCGTCACCCTCTTCTTCGGGCACACGCAGACACGGTCCTGGTCCCTCTGCTCCGGACGCCGGATCCCTCTGCTGTGTCCGAAGACAGGACTAGAACCGCTAAGCCTAGGGCAACTAGCCAGGTGGTCTCCAGGAGCCCCGCCCCCTCTGGGTTTCCTGGACTCTGATTGGTCAGCGAGCCAGCCCATCCCTCACCACGCCCCCTGGGAGAGTAGTTAAGCCTTCCGAGCAGTCCTAGGATTCCATTTGGGGGTGGGGGTAGATGAGCGCCGCTTGGGCGCGGGGGCTCGGGACCTACACCATTCTCCCTCCGTGGCAGTCTGAGGGAGCCCGGATCGTCACTTTTCTCTACCTGTTCGTCCACCGTAACCTGTCTCTTGTCAGCCTCACTCTGTAGAGAGACAATTACTTGAAACGTTGTTCAAAACTCCTAGGGCTGTCCCCCAACACCCTTTTAACTAAGACCCCCCGCCCCTGCACGGAGGTCTCATGGACCTTCCAGTCGCTGATACTCCCGGCTCAGAGGGTTGTGTGTATGTGTGTGAGTGTAGAGGAAGGCTTGGCCTAAGGCCTCTCCCTCTCCCTCCCCTTGCCTCTGGGGTGGGGGTGGGGTGTTGTGGCTGTGTGTGTGGCTGTGACTCCTTCCCGGGGGTTCTGTCACCCGGCTGTGTCCAGCCTCCTCCCCACTCCCCCACCTAAGAGTCACCAACCCGGGGTGTGATTCACCACGCGCTGGAACCGTGCAACCTTTCCCCGAAGAAGAAGGAGGAGGTAGAAGCCAGTTGAGCAGAAATCCTCTCATTAACCACTGCGTCACGGTGTAGTGGAAGGGTGGGTGTTGTGGCTTTTTGCCTGTGACACACACATCCACACCCGCTCGCCCTGTGCTCACTCACGGGGTCGGTGTGTGTATGTGTGTTGGGTGTGTGTGTGTCGGTGTCTCTGTTTGTGTGTCTACGCCTGTGTGTGTATGTGTCACCCCGTAGGAGTGCGCCGGTCTCGGGGAAATGCCCGGTTCCTTCGTGCCCACGGTCACCGCGATCACAACCAGCCAGGACCTCCAGTGGCTCGTGCAACCCACCCTCATCTCTTCCATGGCCCAGTCCCAGGGGCAACCACTGGCCTCCCAGCCCCCGGCCGTTGACCCCTACGACATGCCAGGAACCAGTTACTCCACGCCGGGCCTGAGCGGCTACAGCAGTGGTGGAGCTGGTGGCAGTGGTGGGCCTTCTACCAGCGGAACGACCAGTGGACCTGGGCCTGCCCGCCCGGCCCGAGCCCGGCCTCGGAGACCCCGAGAGGAGACGGTGAGTAAGGGGCATCACAACTTGGCCTGGGGGTAGGAAGCAAGAGGGCCAGGAACTTTCTCACCAGTGGGGGTGAGGGACCACCGAGGCCTTAGTGCTACAGAAACCCTAGCATCCTTGCCACAGTCAGGGAGGACTAGAGGGTCCTCTTGTGGCCCCCGGGGGGTTCTGGAAGAAGAAGAGGTTTGGGATGGGTGGAGGTGGTGCACCGTGTCCCCAAACCTCATGGTCTCTGTCTCCCCTACTCAGCTTACTCCGGAGGAGGAGGAAAAGAGAAGGGTTCGCCGGGAACGCAACAAATTGGCAGCAGCTAAGTGTAGGAACCGTCGGCGGGAGCTGACTGACCGACTCCAGGCGGTGAGCATGGGCCCCGGGGAGGGAGGGGTGAGGGTACACTGAAGGGGGGCTCTCCCCCATCCTCTGCCCCTCGCCACCTGCGCCCTGGTCCTGGGCCCAGAGCCAGAGGTTCTGCACGCAGAACCAGGTACAGGTGTGGCCCGACGGGGTAACCCCAGGCGCACCCACAGACCGTCCCACACTCCCGGCCATACCGGCCCCGGTTTATGACCCTTCACAGAGGTCCTGTCCTTTCTTCTCCCTTTCGGGCTTGGGGAGGCCATAGCCCATTTTTGCCTCAGTGTCTCCATCTCTTCAACCCCTTTTGGAATCTTCCAGGCTCCTTCTAGCTTTGACATTCTGGAGAGTCTGGGAAGCAAAATGCTTTGATCCTGCCTCAGTTTCTTACCACGTGCACCCAGACCTCTCAGACCGCGGGCAGGTGGCATCCACCAACTCCCCCTTCCCTTTTTTACAACTTACCTTGGTCTGGGAGCGGTGCCTGCAGGGTGACCTGCTGCCCCTAGAGGAAATCGGGGAAATCTCCTCCTTTCCCGCGCCACCGGGTCTCTTCCCTGGGAAACAGAGGGGGAAGGGGCAGGGCAGGGAAGAGGTGGCATTAAAAACACAGAACGATTGTTGTTCATTCAACAAACCTCCGAGTGCCTCCGGCAACCAGAGCCCTCCGTGTACCCCTGGTCCCTTCTCAGTTCCCACCAAACACATGGGGGCGCGGGTGGGGGTGGTGGGACAGGCTCCCGGAAGGCAAGACCCTTGCCCCAAGTCCCACAGCACATCAGGACCCGTATCAGGGGGTCTCGCCGCTCAGTCCGGAACAGCCTTCCAGCCCCGGGGGCCGCAGCAGCAAGTGTAAGGGAGATGGTTTCAGCCACGACCCGCCTTCTCTGGTCGCTCACCGCCTTTTGCTCCTTCTTCCCTCTCCTCTGCGACGGGACCTCAGGAGACAGATCAGTTGGAGGAAGAAAAGGCAGAGCTGGAGTCGGAGATCGCTGAGCTCCAAAAGGAGAAGGAGCGTCTGGAGTTTGTGCTGGTGGCCCACAAACCGGGCTGCAAGATCCCCTACGAAGAGGGGCCGGGCCCCGGCCCGCTGGCGGAGGTGAGAGATTTGCCGGGGTCAGCACCCACTAAGGAAGATGGTTTCAGCTGGCTGCTACCGCCCCCGCCACCACCGCCCCTGCCCTTCCAGACCAGCCAAGACGCAGCCCCCAACCTGACAGCTTCTCTCTTTACACACAGTGAAGTTCAAGTCCTCGGCGACCCCTTCCCCGTTGTTAACCCTTCGTACACTTCCTCGTTTGTCCTCACCTGCCCGGAGGTCTCCGCGTTCACCGGCGCCCAACGCCCCAGCGGCAGTGACCAGCCCACCGACCCCCTGAACTCGCCCTCCCTTCTTGCTCTGTGAACTCTTTAGACACAAAACAAACAAACACACAAGGGAGAGAGATTTGGAAGAGGAGGAGGAAGAGAGAGAGAGAGGGGAAGAGACAAAGCGGGTGTGTGGCCTTCCTGCCTCTCCTGTCTGACTCTACGACCGTTGTCATCGGACAGGAGGACCTCCTTGTGTTTTGTGCCGCCTCTTGTTTCTGTGGCCCTGTGGCCCGGCGAGGCCAGGAAGCTGGTGACTTTGGGGGGGGGTGGGGAGGGAGTGGACCCCCGCCCCCAGCTGCCTGTTGGCCCTTTCACCTCAACCCAACCTCTGGGGATGGGTGCGGGGGGGCGGTGGGGCGCCTCGCTTTGGGCCGAGGGAAAGGAGTGCTGGTGGTGGGCTGCGGGGTGGGCTGGAGTCTGCTCCAGAGAGGCCCGACAAAGAAATGCCCCAGACCACGCCCCCCACCCCAGGAATCTCCCACACCCACCCTTCAGGGGGTGACCAGGCTGGTTCTCCCTGCTCCCCCCCGACCCTAGCTTATTTATCCAACGTTTCCACGTGGTTAGATCCTCCTCGGAATTGAGCCTCCCTTTAAGGGAAGTTGATGCCCCTTATGATAATCCCCTTCCCTCCCACCCAGACTTAGTCTGAAATGTGAACCTCCCTCCCTGACTGTCCAGCCTCCCCCTCCCAGCAAAAGTGGTTCTGATCTGAATTCCTAGCCTCCTAAGGACACCCCCCCCCCATTCGGCCCCCAGCCCTCCTTTTCTGATTACAGTGTTAGCCCAAGCCTCCCAGCCTGGCTCAGCCTTTCCCTCCCGGCCTTCCTTGCTGGGCCTCTCTGATTCAGGCAGCAGGGGGCGCTGTGATGCCCGTCCTGCTGGAGTGCTTTATACTGTGAACCGAGTTGGCCGGATGGGGGGGCGGTAAGAGGGGGAGCCCGGTGGGACTGAACCCTTCCGGGAGGGGGGAAGCGGATCGTGCCCCCCACGCCTCAAAGCCTTTCCTTGGTCTCCCCTCGCCCCAGCTGCCTCCTTCCTCTCCTCAACAGTGAGTTAGATTCAAGGGGTGACAGGACCGAGAGTGGGGGTGACAGTTATCCATCCGCGTGGCCTCTGTCCTCAGGACCCCCAGCCCCAAGCCCTGGCCTTTTTCTTTAAGGCCTGTCCCCCTACCCCGGCCTAGGACGCCAACTTCTCCCTTCCCGTGGCACCCCCACATCCTTTCTAGAAAGGGAGCAATGGGAGGTTGCCAGGGGACCCCCAGTATTTTTTCCGGAGAAGATTTAAAGGCCGAGGCTTTGGCCCCCAACCCCCAATATCTTCGGACTGGCAAACCCGAAGGGGCTGGACTCCCGCGGTCCCGGCTTCCGCGCCTCAGCCCCCCAAGCCCCGATTCTTGGTTCGGGCTCCCCGCCCCACCTCTCCCTGTGCTTTCACCTCCTGAGAATTCTCTCGTGAGGCACATTGATATTTTTTAACTTCGGGTGGGCCACGCCGCCTTCTGTGCTGCATGGGAAACATTCCACGTGCCGTCCCGCGCCTCCCGCCCCGTGGCTATTTATCCCTTTCCTGGTTTCCGAAAGGCACTTATATCTATTATGTATAAATAAATATATTATATATGGGTGTGCGTGCGTGTGTGAGCGTGAGTGTGTGAGCGCTTCTGCAACGTCGGCCTAGGTCACGTTGGCCCCCACAGCAGTGCCCGTCGAATCGGAAACACTGCTTCTGGAAACTTCGAGTCAGCCTGTTTCAGGCTCTCTTTCCTCTGGCTGTCTCTCGCTGTCTCTCCCGATTGTCTCGGCCCCTCTGGTGGTTAGGGGCAGTCTCTGGCCGTCTCTTTCTCGAGCGTCTCTCCCACGCCGTCTTTTCTCTGCCTGTTTTCACCTGGTCGTTTTCGGTCTGTCTCTTTGCTGACTGTTCCCGATCCTCCAGCGGTCTCCTGACTCTGGGTTTGCTGGGGACGTGAGATTTTATTTTTGTGAGTGAAGCCTGCGGGATCATAGACCTTCACAATCTGTATCGTTTAAGGATTCTGGGTGTGAGTGTGAGACTGTGAGCAGGGCCTGCCCCTGCCGGACCACAACTTATTGAATCCCCCAAACCGCTCCCCCCCAATGCTGTATTTGTGATTCTCTTTTTTTGTATTTTGCACCTGACCCTGGGGGGCTGGGGCTGGCTGGCACTGGGCCACGACCCTCCCGCCATGGTTCTGCACTGTCGCCAATAAAAAGCTCTTAAATATGAGTCGGCCAAGCTGTACGGTCTGTTTGTTCCTGATGCCCAGCTCCTGCCTTCCTTTGGCAGGAGGGAACGAGGTTAGATCGGGGGCGGGGCTATACATAGGCACCACACATTCTGGGACTCCCACCTGTGAATCAGTCTACAGCAGGACAACAGGACAGAGGAGGTGAGGCAGTCAGAGGACTTCCCACAGGGTCTGCCTCTTCTTAGAGGGGATGAGGCAGAATAGTGGGTGTGAGGTACTGAAATGCCAAAGGGTGTTTTGGAGGTTTCTTGACAACAGAGGAATTTATTCAGACCCTGCGTGCTCAGGATGACCCGAGTGAAGGTGGAACAGGTAGAGAAATTTGAACCACACATCCCATACTACCAAAGATCAGAAAGTGCTTATCAATCCTCAGGGTTATATGAACCACGAAAGCATGGATCACTTTACATCAAAGATGAATTTCCTTTTGCTTTTCACACGACCATGTTTTCTGGGTTATGAACATATAGGGGCCCACCTAAAATGGACTGAACCAAAAATATTGCCTCACTTAATTTATTAATCCATGGGAAACATTTCCTAAGTACCTACTGTGAGCCCAGCCCCGTGCTGGGCAGTGTTGGGGACACGGCGGGGACTGAGACAGCTCCAGGCTCCCCCCTCCTAGGGCTCACAGTCCAGAGAGGACACAGACCTGCCGGGGATGATCTCAAGTGCACAGGATTGGGGGAATCCATGAGCCCGGTGGGGGCACATAACCTGGTCTGGGAGTCAGGAAAGACTTCCTTGAGGAGGGATGGCTGAGCTGAGTCCCGGAGGCTAAACAGAAGACATAGAAGGGGATAGAAAAAGATGCAGTGAGCACAAAGAGCTGTTGGTGTGGGAAGAGGGCTTGATACATCAAGGGAGCTAGAGGTTCACAGAGCGAAAGGTGTGGAGAAATTGTTTAGCAAGGACCAGATTCTGCAGGCTTAAATTCCAGACTAAGAATTTAGATCATCTCTTGCAGGCACTGGGGAGCCATAGCAGGTTTTGAGTGCAAGAAAGGCAGGGGAAGCTTGTGCTTTAGGAAGACAGCTTTAACCACCAAGTTGAGGGTAGCTGGCAGAGAAAGGGGCAAGACCCGGGCAGGAGGACAGGGGTCTAGGGTGGGGACACTGGTGTGTGTTGGGGAAGCCTGGAACAAGGGCAGGGCTATGAGATAGAAAGGAGGACTGGAATTGAAAAGACAGTAGGAGGCAGAACAGACAGGACTCGGTGAAAAGCTAGCTTGAGAAAGACAGCACAGGGCAGCAGTAAATAGCATGGGCCAGGGGTCTGAGAGCCTACCAAAGCTGGGTGACCTTGGACAAGAGGCTTCATCTGTGTGAACCTCAGTTTTCTCGGCTGCAGAATGGGGCTATGAGGAGTCAGGGGGCTCATGCATGCCAACGCTGAGTGCGGAGCGAAGGTGCAGTTATCACCATCCTCACTGCTGTTATTGGGGCCACCTTGATCCCTGGCCTGGAATATTCCCCCCTTCTGTTGGCTCATCCCCTCATCCTTCAGGTGTCTGCCCACGTGTAACCCTGACACCTCACCTGAACTCAGGTCTCCCTATTAGCTGGCCTCTAAGTTCAGTACTTGCCTTCCCAGTAGTTATCACCTTTGTCGTTGTTCATTACATGTGTAATTAATGATTGTTTAATGTTTGTCTCCTTCACTGGACTGGGAGCACCATGAGGCCAGGGCCGGGGCTGTTGATCAACACTGTGTTTCCAGCACCTGGCACCAAGCAAATACTTGTTGAATGAGTGAGTGAGTGAATGAATGAATGAATACCTAACCAATGAATAAGTGCATGCGTGATTAAATACATGAGTGAGCAAATGACTGAATGGGAGAATAAGCAAGTGAAGGGGAGAGATCCAGGATGATTTTCATCATCTTTTGGAATCATTTTTGATACTCGCAGTGAAAGTGTAACCGTGGGAAAAGGGACCCGCGTGGCGGAGATTGAACTGTGAAGCAGAGGATTGCAGCGTTGTTATTAGGCGCCGGCCGAGGGACTTTCTCCCCGACAACCCGCTCTTATGTCCAGTCTGATGGAAATATGAAAGAAAAGACCTTGTCGCCCGAAAGGTGGAATTGAACCACTCTGTCGCTAGACAGCTACAGGTTTGAAGCCTGCACCCCAGACCACTGAGGATCATCCGGGCAGAATAACTGCTTCCCCACACAGCTATATAAAACTCAGAAACCGCTATCTTTTTACAGTTACGGTCACATAGTTTGGGAGGGTGTGAGATTGTTGACTCCGATATCTATAAATTCTCGCCAACCACGACATATATCCTTCCAAAACGTTACCTTTTTCTTGCATGGGCATGAATCATCCTCGCTTTGGAAACCGTCTTCATTTGCATAGCGCCGCGCATTCTGGGAAGCGGCGTTCGAGGACGGGGCCCACTCGCCTCTAGAGGTTAAAGGGTCCGAAGCCCCTTTTTCCAAGTGAGAAGTTTGTTTTTTAAGAGGAGAAAGTCATAAGTCGGCTTTCAGAAGCCCCTTCTCTGAAAAAATCCGAGTTCGAGTGAGCGAGTTCCTGCTAGAGTTTGATTTAGCCCAGCCCCGGAGGCTCTGGGTAGGCGGTTATGGGGCTGGTGCGACACCTGCTGTTCCTTTGTGGAACTTCAACGACCTACAGAGTCCCATGTTCATGCAAACATTTATTATTGAGCGCCTACTAAGTCCCAGGCACTGTCCCAGGCACTGTCCCAGGCAGCGGGATGACAGAAATTCTGTCTATATTGAGTTTAAGACACTAGAGGTCATCAATTTCTGCACCTGTATTTTATGGCCAAGGAAACGGTTTCCGGACCACATGAAACCTACCCAGGCCTCCCATCTCAGAGTAAAAGTCAATGTTCTCACCACCGCCCTACAAAATCCCTATATTCAGGGGCACCTGGGTGGCTCAGTTGGTTAAGTGCCTGCCTTTTTATGATCCCAGCTTCCTATCATCAAGCTCCCCATGGGGCTCCCTGCTCAGCGGGGAGCCTGCTTCTCTCTCTCCCTCTGCCTGCAGCTCCCTCTGCTTGTGCTCGCTCTCTCTCTCTCTGTGTC